TATGAGTCAAGAAGAACTGGTCGGGTTTTGAGTTAAAGTTTAAATTTGTGGTATATAAAATTATGTGTTAATACGTAGAGAGATGTATATTTAGAACTTTAAATATGATAAGGAACGAATTACTAGGATCATGTATACTGGAACGTCATGTCATGTCCCTTTTTGTTTTAATTGTTTTGTCAATAAAATTTTTTAAAAATAAAAAAATAAAAAAATAATAAAAAAAAAACAATGTTTTTCAAACTTGGCCACTTTAAGATATGTGGATTTCAAGTCGCAGAATTCCCCAGTCAAGCCCACCCCCAGAACATGGAAGACAGATCCCTGGAGCCAGAAAGGTTGAGGGGAGGGGACTGCTTTACAGCACTCTCTGAGGGTTTACAATGTCAGCATATTGCCCCCAACAATCTGGGTCCTCATTTTACCAATCTTGGAAGGACAGAAGGCTGAGTCAACCTTGAACCGCTCAGGATCAAATTTGTGACTGTGAGCAGAGTTTGCCTGAAATACTGCATTCTAACCTTTGTGTCACCATGGAATCACTCCAGAAGACAGGCTTAAGATACAGGAGGATCTGGACAGACTTGAACACTGGGCGCTGTCTAACAAAATGAAATTCGGTGGTGAAAAAAGTAAGGTTCTACATTTAGGCAAGAAAAACCAAATGTACAGGTATAGTATAGGGGGTACCTTGCTCAATAGTAGTAACTGTGAGAGGGATCTCGGAGTCCTAGTGGACAATCACCTAAATATGAGCCAACAATGTGCTGCAGATGCCAAAAAGGCCAACACAGTGCTAGGCTGCATTAACAGAGGGATAGAATCAAGATCACGTGAAGTGTTAATACCACTTTACAATTCCTTGGTAAGGCCACACTTGGAATACTGCATCCAGTTTTGGTCACCACGATGTAAAAAAGATGTTGAGACTCTAGAAAAAGTACAGAGAAGAGCAAGAAAGATGATTAGGGGACTGGAGTCTAAAACATATAAGGAACGGCTGCTGGGATTGGGTATGTCTAGTTTAATGAAGAGAAGGATGAGGGGGGACATGATAGCAGTGTTCCAATATCTCAGGGGCTGCCACAAAGAAGAGGGAGTCAAGCTATTTTCCAAGGCGTCTGAAGGCAGGACAAGAAGCAACGGGTGGAAACTAAGCAAGGAGAGAAGCAACCTAGAACTAAGGAGAAACTTCCTGGCAGTTAGAACAATTAACCAGTGGAACAACCTACCTCCAGAAGCAGTGAATGCCCCAACACTGGAAGTTTTTAAGAAGAGACTGGACAGCCATTTGTCTGAAATGGTATAGGGTTTCCTGCCTGAGCAGGGGGTTGGATAGATGACCTCCAATGTCCCTTCCAACTTTATTCTTATTACTATTATTACTATTACTACTACTACTATTATTATTAAATAATAATAATAATAACAACAACAACAATAATAAAGAACTATTTTTTCTTGATTCCCCATTGATCCATCTCTCACTATCAAGCAAATGAAATCTGTTCAGCTTTTGACCAAGGTTATCCTAGAGTTGTCCTCTAGTCCTGCTATCTGGACACTCCCCTAGTCCTGGGGAGTGGGGATATCCAGACTTACAAAGGAAAAGGGCCGGTATAACCATCAGTTATAAGTCTCTCACCCTTTGCCTGCCCCAATTAGCATGTGCAGCATCTCTTTGCCCCTGTTTTGAACACCAGGGCAAATAGCAAGACTTAGATAAGGGGAAGGGTCTTCACAGACTGTCCCTGGGTCTGTTTCTCACTGGCCTGTAAATCGTTAAAGGAGTCGCTGTGCTTGAGAGATAAAGGGAACTTCCTATTTCTTTCTTGCTCTTTCTTAATTTTGCATTGGAATGTTCTGTTTACTTATAAAATATTCTTTCAAAACAAATATGTTTATTTCATGCATATTCATGAGCTTAATCTAGCTGCCAATAAATGTAGAGAAATAAAATAGGCAATTGGGACTTGTATTTTTTTTATGGATTATTTCTATTTACATTTGGCCAACAACTGCGAGCAGCAAAGATACCTATGTACAAAATTATGTGCACCAGACACTTTTTATGTTTGAAAGATTAGGAACATAAAGCCCTTTTTCAGAAATGTTTGAGCTTTGCCAAGTTATGGAAATACAAAGATTCTCTGGACACAAGAAGCAAAGAGTTTAGGAAGCCCAAATAGAGAAAGTCTGCACACGTATGAGAAATGTGAAAGGTTTTTTTAAATTCCATTCAGAACCATAGGCTCCATATATATGTCTGAAATAATGTTCTCTTTAAGAATGTAGGCTAACACACATACACCACTCAGACCACCAGAGCCAAAGTCGCAATTTAAGAAGTCTGCTGAAAGCAATGAAGTTATTTCAAACTTAGTTGTTTTCTTTCTGATGTCTCTGTCTGTATGAAACAAACACAACTGTTCAAGAAAGCCTGAATTTGGACCAGATATATCGAAAATATATGAGCAGAAATCCCAAATGGGAACAACAACAAAAAATTATCTGAGCAAAGAGAACCCTCTGTTTCACTGTAAAACTGCAAAAACAAATTATATCTGAGAGCATTCTGTCTACAAAGAGACCAGCTGGCTGGCTAGGGCTCCAGAGAGGTCAATGGGGGAACAGAAAGGTTTTTTTCTCTTACCGGAAAGGGAAATGGCCCAAGTGGCAGGAAAAGGCTGGAGAAGAAGGTGAGTTTCACCCCAAAGGGAGAGAAACATTGTGTTCTAGGAAAAAGAAGGGGGTGCCTCAAAGAAGGGTGATTGCCAGAACCCCTAAAGATAAGGCTTTTCTGAACTCAGTTTGACTGGCCAGCAGAAAATTGCTCCAACATTCAAAAATAAAGATTTCTTTGTTGATCTTGGATGAAAAGGGCAGATCTAGAAGAAAAACAAAAGTGGAGGCTAGACACTGCAGAGGCTGCACAGGTCCTCGACTTACAACCATTTACGTAGTGACCGTTTGAAGTTACAGTGGCACCGAAAAAAGGGACAACTGGTCCTCACACTTATGAATATCGCCTCATCCCTATGGTAACGTGATCAAAAGTCAGCAGCTTGGTGACGGCGTGTATTTACTACAGTTGCAGCTTTTCATGGTTACACGGTTGCCATTTGCAACCTTATCAGCCAGCTTCGACAAGCAAACTCAAAGGGGGAAGTTGGATTCACTGAATGGCCTTGTGTGGTTTATGTGACAACTTCAGTGATTCACCAGTAGCCCTGTTGGTGCAGTAGTTAGAATGCAGTATTG